CTAGGGATTTGGAACAACAGTAGTGACTATATTCCGAGCACATATCATGCAAACACCTAATCAATGACCAAGTTTCCATCAAATTTGCTGTTTTTAAGAAAAAAAATTGGATGTGTTTATTTATCATTAATATTGATATTATACATGAAGATGATTGATGCACATCAATCATAAAATCAAATCCAGTTTTGATCCCATCAAAAAGAATGGGTTATAATAAAAGAGGTATGCTCTTCAAACTATTGTTCTTTAAGTTGTGTTAACATCTTTCTATTTAAATATTCTTAAGATTTTCATGACTTTGGAATATTTTCCTTAAACAGTTGGATTGAGTCAAGCACACGTAAGTAGGTTGAAGTCAACCTTTCCGAAAAATTTGTGTCACAAATACTTACTAGGGAAAGTTTATTTTCTTCTCAATGTCGTGTGGGAGGAAGAAACTCAAACGTGTTCATACCACAACATTCCTTTTTCACTATTACCATGTTACATCTTATTCACACAGCAGAGACGCTAAAGATATAAGATACGATAAGCAATGTTACACATGTGTTTAGACACATACTTAAGCATCAACACTTTTATTCTCTACACTCTTATGGAATCTGAATTACCAAAATGAAAATTTTGAGTAACAAATACGAAAGGAATACGTACCAATATCATTTATAGACTGGTGAATGCGTAAAAAACCGTTAATCTTCAAAGCAGACGATCAAAACAAGACAAAACTGAGTTTGGAATTTACTTTTGTTGCGTTGACTCTGCAACTCGTACTATTGGTCCACGAATTTTAGCGTAGAATTGTTTGTAATTCGATATCTTTAAAAACAATTCAATTGTATAATTGAACCAACATAGTTAATGCAAATAATCAAGATCATGCCATCATATGATTTTATATTTTAAAAACTTAGACTATCAGATATTTATATTTTTATTCTATTATAAATGGAGAACAAGTTTGTTCATTCATCAAATCAAATCAACAACTCCCATATGAGAGGCAGAGAGGGTACATCTTTTTTTAATATATCAACAGATTAAAAGATTTAATATATATTTATGTATACATTTTAGTTAAGATTTTGTAAACTGGATTTTAATACTAAAATTTTTAAATCCGTAAACATATTTTGGTAATTAAGTGTACGTATTGTACTTTTTTGACATCTGTGTATGTATTGTTCTAAATAAAAGAAAATATAAATTATGTTGATGAAACCTCTGTTTTATATTGAAAAATGCTAAATTATTTCTTAAAGAATTACGATACAAATGAGTTAAGAACAAAGAGTATAAAGTTCGTTACAAGAAAGAGAAGAATGATAGGTTGCCAAAAAAGAAAGAAAGAGAAGAATATGTATTATGTAATTATAAAACCATCTGTTTTGAAAAGTTATATGAGCAACCAAATTATAAAAATAAAATTTACAAAGTGTTCTAATGGAGGAGTAGGTAAGTGCAGGAAAACTGCACTGTTTTGTCATTTATCTTTCTATGTTTATAAAAGCAGTTCAAATAGAAGATTTACATGCAATTCAATATTTTTGTCTTTTTTGAAAAAAAATAGAACTAACATTTGATGTGTTGATATGCTTTTTACTAATAAATAATTTTATTACAAACACTAACTTTAAATATATTTATTTGATTTTATAAATAATGTATAACTAGATTTTGACCCGCGCTTGAAAGTGCGGAAATTTTTTATTACTAAAATTTATATAATTGGGTTATGTCTTAATTTAAAGAATGTTTTGGTTAAAAATCAGTTTCCAAAATTTGTGGTGACAATTTTTTTCATTAGTTTTTAGTTTCAGTTTTTATTTTTAGATTTTGGTTTTTAGTTTTTAAGTTTCTATTTTTTATTTTCAGCTTTTGTTTGGGTTTTTAATTTTTAGATCCGCTGAGTTAGTTTGAACTGATATTACCAACAAACAAATTTCAAATAAACGAACATCTAATTTAAAACAGAAAAGATGACAAAATTTTTTTAAAAAAAATTTGCAATAGTTTATTTTGTAAATAAACAAAATCAAAAACTATAACAATATGTTATCCAGAACAACGCGTATTCAGCTTTTGGTTTTGGGTTTTAGTTTTTAGAATTGGTTTTTTGTTTTGCTTTACATTTATTTTTTTTAAATCAGTAAATTATTTAAGAAAAAAAAACAATAAATTATTTAAAATTTACCATTGAAATTTATCAAAAAAACTGATTGTTATTTAAAATAAAAAATACAATAACATGTTTTAAAGTACATGATTTAAATAAATGATTAATAATAGACAATTTTGTTTTGTTAAAAATATTAAATACATTTGGGCCTGGAAGTAATAATTAATTTTTTGATCCATTAAGGTAGAAATTTTATTCAATGTTTTTTGGAGTTTTTCTGTTAAGCCTAAAAATAAAACCATATAATTTGTCATAAAAACAAAAGTAAGCCCAAGACTATATCCCATAAATAACCATCGGTTTAATTTAAGTTTTGCGGTTCAATTATATATGGCTTGTTGTAACACTCTAGAAAGAGTCCAAATTTAAATGACAATTTGTATTAGTAGATAAAAAGAAAGACTATATTTTAATAGAGTATATTTCCATTGGTTTCATATAATTATTAAATTTCCATTTTTTAAAGGAATTGTTAAGATGCTAAAAGGTATATTACGATTTCCACATTAATATAATTAGTAGATTTCCATATTCCATATTTTGATAATATATATTCTTTTAGAACATTCTATATTTGTAGGAGAAAATATGTGTTTTTGGTAGACACATAGATATCTGCCGTATTTTGAAGATATTTTACATTAAAGTCGCCATGTTACATTAATTGTGTTGGTTTAGTTTAAGTAATGCGGTTCAATCAATTATAAGACTTATATTATTTGTAACACTCTAGAAATGATCCAAATTTAAATGAAAATTTGTATCAGTAGATAAAAAGAATGTCTCTATTTTAATAGATTAGATGATTAACTCAAACAATATAGCTCACACTAAATATTATTTGTGTCACTTTTAAAATTATAAGCATATTATTTCAAAATTATAAGTATGACATCTAGTCACATACAAAAATTAATATTTTACAAAAAAAAAAATATTTCTATATAATTATCAACAAAGAGTTTAATATTATATATCTGTCAGTTCTTTAAAGATAACTAGGATAAGACCTGCGCCTTGCGCAGGGTGAATATATGTAATTAAAATATAAAATTTTAATATTCACAAATTTAAAATTTACATATGATTGTTTTTGTATGTATTTGAAATTTTAGAATTTTGGAATTTTTATATAATTATCTGTACGTATGATAAAAAACAATTTTAATTAGAAATGTAAATCAAATCTTAGAATTTAATGAATCTGATTTCATATATCTTTTTACTTTTCAGTGTTCGAGTGATGGAAAATAAATGGAGTGTCACTGGGCTTGATTGGTAGAGTATAGCAAGTTCCCTAATGTTTTTAAAGAAGCAATTGGTAAAATATTTGCAATTAAAATATATAAAGTTTCTAAACTAATTTAATATAATTTATTTATTTGTCTAATAATATTAGAA